CCCAGCCATAAACCCAAATCCCAGCCCCTCTGGTGGACAACACAGTGGATGGGGTTATTCCTGCCCCCTGGCAGCCCTGCAGCGGGGTTTGTTCTGGGCTGGCACCGTTGGAGGCACCAGCAGCAGCTCCAGTGATGCACATAGGGCTGGTGTTCAGCAGACTCTCAGATCTGGCCTTTCTTGAGTGAGAAAGGACTCACCTTTCTCTAGGGCAAAAATAGGAAGCACAGAGGTATAAGATGCTCCAGGCCTGGCCTCGCCCTCTGGCATCTCCCGTTCCCATCTCCTGCTCCATACGCGTTTTGGAGATAAACAGAAGGCCGTAGCCTCTGAGGCTTTTACTCTAGGACTTTTCATTTACTTTAATTATTGAAGTATGTTTCCCACTAGATAAGATCAGTGTGACATTTGATAAGCTGCACCTCCGGCATCGTCCACCCTCCTCACGCACCAGCTACCAAACACAGTTCCAGAAGCAAATAAATGGGCCTTACTGCAGGAGGAGTCCTGGGAAAGCACCGTCAAACACAGAACCATGGAACGGTTTGGGTTGAAGGGACCTTAAAGTTCATCCAGCTCCAACCCCCTGCCCCGGGCAGGGACACCTTCCACTAGAGCAGGTTGCTCCAAAGGGCCATGTATGTGCATTAGAGACCTCCTGCTGGACTCCCACCGATGAGAAGAGTGATCGGGTCCAGCTCCCACTCCTATGGGATCTGCTGCAGGAGCAGAAGCCTCACCAGAGGCACTGCCCACAGCATCCCCACGCTCCATTGAAGAACCTCAGTGGCATCTGAATTAACAGAAAGCCCTCCACACTGCTGACCTTCACTAAGGTGGACGCTGCTTCCCACCTCTGTACAATAAATCAATTGGTAAAGAACACGAAGCCTCAATCCTTCATCAAAGGTCAAGCTTGGGCCAGGAAGAAAGGAAACGATTTAAAAGCAATGGGCAGTTTACAAAACAGATTTCTCATTATGCAACTATGAATTATTGTTAAACCCTGGTCTGCGCTGAAGCTCTGCTCTACCTGCAGCCAGCAGCAGAGAGGCCCCCGCTCCATCACCCCATGGCTGCAGAAAGGCCCATCAAAGACCCACTCTGAGCACTGCAAAACCCACAGGACATTAAACCTAGGAAGGAGATGAGCTCCACAGGAAGCCTCCAACCTTCCTGAAGGTGGATTCTGACACTTATTGGTGAGCGTGGTCCCCAGCCAAGCATCCTGCAGCATCCTCCGCCCAGGCTGTGAAGGGGCTCTCATCACCCTCTTCCAACAGGCCCCCATCACGCATCGAGGACATGTTTTGATAATGCCCTTCATCTCCCATCCATCCTGACTGAACAGGAGCACGGCAGCCGCGGGGAGGAGGCTTTTGATCTCTGCTGCCAGCCTCCCTCTGCCGGAGATGCCAATAAACTGCGCTTCCGACAGCCATTGTTTCACTTATGGAACCTTCAGCCTGGTTTTGATTGAGTGCACTTAATATAGTTGCTCTTGTTGTAGGAAGGATTTTGAGCCTGGTATTTGACAGCCTTGATCTTAAAGCAATCCATTAAGAGCAGCTTTATCTCTGGGTTTTGTAACTGTTAAATCGTTCTTTATCAAGTGGGTGCCACGCTTTCAGGAAGACACATGGGAAAAACAGGGAATAAACCTCCTCGACTCCAGTGCCAGGACTGCTGTGTGTATTTGGGCTACACATTAATAACCAAAAGGGGGGTTTTTTTTTGCTGCAGAACAACATCTGACACCACCTCAGAGAACTGCAGGCGACAGAGAGAACCGTAACTGGCCATAGGAGCCAAGGCATCCCGGCTCCGCGATGTGCTGTCACCGCTGGAGCCAGTTGCTGGTCTTACATATCATCACTCCTGATATACGTCTTCACCATGAAGCCCTACAGCTCCCCGGAGTAAACCACTATAGATTTTCCAAAACACTTTAATAAGGAGCAAGCATTTCAAGTCATGCCGCAGGAAAGGCTGCAAGCGCTCACAGCACCCCCAGCTCAGTTAGCAGGGACCTGCCCAGAGACAAAACCCAATAAATTCATCTCAGGTGAATTAAAGCATTTCATTTAGATTTTGACCTTTCGAAAGCAAACGCATAACATCTCAAAATAAAAACTCATTTCAGGCTCAAGAATCAACACTTCCAGCTGGGAATGCCAGAGCGATGCATTACAGCACCGAAACGTCCAGATTCCTGCAGTGGGAGCAGCTCCAGTCCCTAAGGAGAGCAGAATCACCCCACCAGGCTCCTTGAGGTGTCTTTCCACAGTGCAGGGCCCAGCACAGGCTGGTGTGGTTGGCACAGGTTTTCCCCAGCTCTGAGGGCAGATGATGGGCTGGTTGTGCCCGTACTGAATGCTCTGGGAAGGGGCTCTTTCAGGAGCCTCCCTCCAGCCTGCAATTAGGCACTGGAGAAGTTAATCAGCTTCAGCAATAGCCAGAGCCCAGCTGTGATCATCCCATTGCCTGGCCAACACCAGCGCAAAGGTGATGGATGTATGGCCTCCATCCATGGAATGCCATGCCTGCCATTTTTTTCGGGCGGGGAAGCCCCCCCCCGGCCCCCTCCCCAGCCCCACCTGCCAAGGCCAAGGCTCATGGGCAGGTTGCAGCAGCATTTGCTCGACCCTGCAGTGCCACTTCCAAACACATCTATCGCCTTTCAATTTGGCAGAGGCTCCAAGTACTCATTTCAGCTAATAAAGATACCCGGTAATGTCATGTTACAAGGCTGGCTGGCTCCCAGCAAATATTATGTGAGCCTTTGTTTAATTAGAGGCTTCTCAGGCAGTTGCAATTTCGTTCTCTTAATGGGAAAAATAAGCTGAGTATAAAGGTTTGGGCTGGAGACATCACCCCACTGCCTCTGAGCTGGGGCAGGAGCTTCTGCACCCCCTTCCCTTTTCTTTTTCCCATCTACTTTCTCATTTCTATTTGCTGTGTCAGTGGCCCTGTTTGGCACCACTGAGCCAGCACAGCCTGTGTGTCAGAGAGAGCTTCCTGCCGGCTCCTGCCTCCCCAGCTCCAAACACAGCCCCAGAACGTCTGTTTGTTCTGAGGATCAGTAAAGTTCAGCTGCTGCAGTAAAGTTCAGGCACCGGTGGCAGCTCCTGCCTGGGCACCTGAATGAATTCTGATGGGTTTTCCAGACCCTGCTCAGGATGGGAAGTGCCAGCGTTGGTTGGCAAAGCTCATGGAGAGAAAGCAGCCTGGGAGGTAGCAGGAGCCATCCCAGTGCCTCCACCCCACCCACCTCCCCACAGCACAGTGGCACACATGCCAGCACCCCTCAAGGTCCCCAGCAGCCCTGCAAGGCAAGTGGAACCCACATTCCACAGCAGATGCCTCCAACCAACAGCTATAAAACCTACCCCGACACAGTCGCCTGGAGTGGAACCAAACTGAGCCATGGAAAGGGGTCCAAGGGTACCTGAAGCACCTACACAACACAGAGCTCAAATTCAGCAACCCACCCTGACCCCCACCAAAGAGCTCAATTAAAGAGCCACTTCCCAATCTTGTCTTCCCTGGGCTCTCCAGTGATGAGATGTGAGCTGAGATTTTTAGGGTGAATTAATTGTATCATTACAAGAATCTAAATTTCTTCCTGACATGAATCAAATGGGAAGAAAACAAGGAGCTGCATGCTGGGCATGAGGTTATGGCCACCAGTGGGGACCAGCACATCATTTACTGGGGGTGAGGTAGCACCAGCTCCTTCACAAGCCTCAAGAAATATCATTGTATGAAAACAGAATGAAGATTATTCAGTTAATCTACTGCCATAACCCAACTCAGGGCCTCTCTGTGCTGCAGAGAGAGCAATCACTTGTAAAATATTAGCTGTCATTTCCCATCAGGCCAAGGCAGGCAGAGGAACTCAGCAACAACTTCATCAGGGCTCCTGCTGCACCAGCCTCACACCCATGAAGCCCTAACGGGTTCCTAGGGTGGCTCAGCATGGCTGTGATGACATAGGGGCACACCAAGGGGCAGGGACCCCCCTTCTTTGTAGCCTTGGCTCCTCGTTTTCTCGCCTCGGGATTTCCTCCATAACCTGCACCTTATTTCCCATCATTCCCATCCATAGCCCCTGCCCTGACCCACAGGGAATTGGGGGTGACCCAGGGGATCCCCAGCACTCCCCACCATGGGACTGGTGGCACCACAGCACTCGCCTCTGCAGGATGGGGACTCCAAAGGCTCCCACCTCCCACAGAAGAAGACGCTGCCACGCTCTGCCAGTGCTGCACAGCAAGTTTAATTGAGGAAGGATGAGTAAAAAACATAACGAAAAACCCCGGAAAACTGCCTCAGTGTGTACAAAACTCACTGTAGAATATAAAATACTTTAAAAATACTCTGCAGAACCAAATCTGCAAACTTTTTAAGTTAAAAAAAGATTCCAAAAATGCCTAAAACCGTAGTAACACTCCACAAAAATAAAGCCATCCTGTGTGGTAACCAACACATTCGCTCTCCACGCTTTGTGTGGATGGAGCCACATGGCACCATTGGCACACACAGCAATGCCCGGGGATGCCGGTGGCCAGCAAGACCTCTTGGCTTGGGGAAGGCCCAAACCCCTTGGAGAGACACAGGGGACAGAGACCAGGCTTCACTGGTAGAGGACCTTCACACAGAAGGTCTCCTCGTTCTTGTCCTCGTGGTCGTTGATGTGAATCAGGATCTCCTCCTCACCCGTGCTCTGGCTGGGGGCGAAGCGCAAGCCGATGGTGTACACCTCCCCACCAGCAACCTGTGGGACACGGTGACCTGCATCACGCTGTGCATCCACCAAGCACTGCATGGCCTGGCAAGGGGGGCACGTACCTCAAAGGAGTCCTCCTTGAACTGCAGGAGGTCAGGCCGGTTGGTGCACAAGAAGTAGAGCCTGGGCGAGGGGTAGGGGTTGGTGTAGGTGATGCGCTTGTTGCAGCCTCTCCCTCCGCCTGCAGGCAGTGAGATCTCAAATGCCTGCGGGACAAGCACAAGCTGTGGCACAGAGGGAACCCCAAACCAACTACAGAGAAGTCTCTCCCATGCCAACACACCATGGAGTGGTTTGGGGGCACACGTTCCCTCCTTTCCCTTTGCACACCTCACATCTATCTCTGCCAGCAGGTATCAAGAAACCACCTTCAAGCAAAAGCATCCTCCTCACACTGCTGCTGGCACCACTGTACTCACAGGAGTAATTACAAGCCCGAATGACCAAAGGCCAGGGAGCAGCTGGGTCCAGGCAGCTCATTCACTAGCTTATTAATGGGTGTCCATGGGTAGAGCAGTGGAGCTCCCTCAGATAACCCCGCAGCACTCAGCCATATGCTGGGGCACTGGTTCAAACTCTGATCTGAACTCCCCCCAGTACAGAGGCTTCCATTAAAATGTTTTGAAAGGAACATATTACCAGGAATCTAATTTTCCACCTTTGAGGCAAGGCCTCGCAGAAAGCAGCAGGCTGCAGCTTTCATTTCACAACCAGAGATACTCCTGAGCTGATACTCCCCAGCACGGGACTGCCTTCAGAACAGCCCAAAAGACGTTGTACCAGAGATTTGAGTGAGATTAGTCAAGCACACCAGGGCTAAACGTGTACTCAGGGTGGCAAGCACCAAAACA